AAGCATTCAAGTTAAGAAAGCAAAAGTTTCCCCAATCAAACCTGAATTCAGTTCTCTTGGGTGCATTCATTACAGTTAAAGGACTTTAATCATCTGATTATATAGTACATTTTTCCCCACACAACTACCTTTGTCCAGAGCCCAGGAGGGACCTGCTCTGGGATGAATCAGGGCAGTGTGTGAAGACTGTACGGCTGAAGGCAGGACCCCCTGGTTCACTTGTTGCAGAAGCTGGAAGATGCAAGTGTGACCTGGGGTGGCCCAAAGCCCAGGGATGGCCACGTGGCACAGACACCTGAACGACGTGCTTGCAAACTGGATTTTCCCTCTGCCTCGGTGTTCTCGCACTGTGCTAGGAAGTTGCTTAAGCAGGACTTTTCAGCTGTGTGGTTGTCCTTATCCACAGACCCACCTTGAGACCCCAGGGTCAACACAGCTAGCGAGAGCCGTGCCTTGCACACAAAGTGCTACAAAATGCCAAGCGCTTTGAAAGAGTCAGGCCACGGTGTCCCGAACAAGGTACCCCATATTAGGCCCTCCTAACCCTAACCTCTGTGCTTGCAAAATGGCAACAGAGACCTTCATCTCACTGGGTTACTGTGGAAAATAAATACATCAATATTTCTGAAAGCACATACAATCGCAATGAATGTCACAGAAAGCCCCTGAGAAAATTCATTACCTTGTTTTCAGACCCGAGTTTGAGGAGTTCAAGGCACAGAAACACTCCCTGCTTAGCCATTACAGGTGGATGAGTCTTTCTGGGATACACAAGGACCCAGTTTTGTCCAGGGAGACCCCCCTCCTCTACACCCACCCTGTTATGCACCTTACTAGCCTTATTATATCTGGTCATCAGCAGAGAAGACAAATGCTGCCAAAAATCACATGCGAGAATTTGTCCACTGGTTCCTTCGCACTCTTTCAAGAGTTTCCTGTAATCAGTTTTTGTTTCTCTACCATCTTTTCTTCTAGGAGACATCAGCATAGTTAAGGCCATAACCTGATGTATTTCCGGGTGGTTAGAACTTGGAAAAAGGTCTGACAATTGAGGCCAAAATCTTCCATGCATTTTTTAAATAAGCGGCAAGTGGAAGATGTGACCCACCGGTTCTAAGACAGGCCGTGCTGTGGTTTAGATATGGAAAGGCGAGCAGCATGTGACAGCCGTGGAGACCAGCTCTGTGAGTCAAGGGTTGTTTAAGTGCCTGTGTCCTGCCACTACTTCTCCACCGGCCTCATCCTCTGACCAGCAGCATCGACTCCTATGTCCAATCACCTCCCTTCCAGAAACACAGGCGCACATGGGCTGCAAACAGCCATGGAGAGGAAAGAGGGACAGACATACTGCTGCTTCAACCATCCTAAGTGCCAACGGAGCTCAAAATAGCTCTTGCACTAAATCAACCTCTGGTCATACCTCCTGCATGCATAGTCAAGATCCTCAACCCTCCCCTTCGCCTTAGGGGAAGCCCACAAGTCAACTTTCATCATCTAAATTAAATGACAAAAAGAAAATCTTCATAGATATCACTCCAGGACCTTTCCCTGCCCCTCGCACAAGGCTTCTATTTTTGTGAGGCATAGCACCATTGATCCCCACATGCCCACAGAGGACTATTGCCACAACCAGGCCTATTTTTGCTGCCATCACTGATGGAGTACACAACGTTCAGGAATGGTAATTACTACAAGAAAAAGAAAAAGCAATCGAAGTTTGCTAGGAAGTGGGGAAAAGGCAAAACAGAGGAGAAATCTATTCTTGCCAGTTTTTTTTTTAAGCTGCTCCAATAAAAGAGCCTGCCCCCTCTATGAAGAAGTCCTTATGGAGGTGTATTTTTGCAGAACGACCTCAACCCATTTGGACATAATAAGTAAAAGGAAAAAAAGAGTGGCTGCTCTCGCCTTCACTGGTAGAGCCGGCTCCAGCCATCCAAGTGAATCTCTGGCTGCCGCAGCCCTTCCAATGTTTGCAAACACTCAAAATCCCTCGTGTTTGCCCTCTTTTGATTACCAGGATCATTGCTTCAAATGCTGCTGCTTTTGGAAAGCAAAGTGGGTCAGTTACAAAGAGCTTTCCACCGTGTTCCTGCTTAACCCCTGCCAGCCCACGGCAAACCCTGCCACGACACCTGCTCGGAGGCTAGAGAAAGTCAGATCTTTCCTGAACTGATGTTAAATGTTTTAACTCCAGTGCTAATAAGAGTGGGAGCTTGTTCCTCCTAACAGTGAACAAGTAGCCACATCCTCGTGACCCGCAGCCAGAAGACACCTGATCTGTGCGACCCATGTCTCTGCTACAGCGATTTATTGATTCTTCCCCCGCTGCCATCATGAATTGCTTCCTTTCGGGTGAAGGAGATTCACCCATTTCCCATTCAGAAGGCGGCATTTATTTGATAACGCTGCGCTGAAATTCACAGACATCTGGAGCAGGCATTTTGTCCAGTTTTCCTCCCCAAAACTGAAGAGGAGCACTAATTATTGCTCAATGTTTTTCGTGGAACAGGAGGGCCAGGAAGGGACGTAAACCAGCTGCTCACAGCACAGCCGGCAGCTCCCACATCCAGCCCCCACCACGACCTGTCAATGCACGTTACCTTCTGTGTTTGAAGGAAGAGCAGAGCTGCTGGCTCTGTGGGGCAAGGCCCATGTTTTGCCATCGCGCTTTCCGTTCCCAGCGGCACAGATGGGTTTGCTGTTGCGCTCGCACCAAGCGCTTCTTGGAGCGGTGTAGTTTCTAAATGGCTGTTTCAACGCTACAACAATAGCCGGCATTGAGGGACTGATAGGACAGCTCCCAAGAACTACACACAATTATGCAAAGCTCCAGAACAACAAAAGCCTTCACAGAGGACTTGGAAAATGGATTTTCATATGACTGGCTGCTCTGGCATGTTTGCCGATTCTGAACATGGCAAGCAGTGTTTTCCCTATGTGACATCGGTTCTTTGTGACAGACCACCCTAAAACTCCTCGAAAGCCGGAAAAATAGCAACAGAATACTCTTGAGCTACATCTTGAGCTCATCAATATTGTGCTTAACTTGACTAGACAGTCTGAAGTAACAGAAGAGAAGTTATTTGACAAGTCAGGGCCAAACATCCAACTCATCCTAGAAATCCCTGAAGAGTTCAGGCAAGTTATGTGTATAGTTAGGGACCTACCTACATCACGGTTTCACAGACTTTGTGGGAACAGCAAAAAACATTGTTGTGTGCAATGGCCATGATTTCCCAAGAAACCAACCCAAAAAAAACTCAGTTGTGACGTAGACTGAGCGAAGGTGCCCCCCACCAGTCAGCTGGGAGGAGCGGGCCACCGCAAAATTGGCTCTATGCCACAAAAAAACCCACCGTCTCGCCATGACTGAGGTAGGTCCCTAACTCTCCTAAATGAATCGTTTCACTCGCCAGTTAAATGCTGCCATCTCTGAAGTGAGGACATTTGTTCAAACGCTAACCCTACAGCTACAGAAAAGTTTAAATACGACACAGAGAAAACTATTAGCTAAATTTAAACTGCAGGGAGGAATTGAGCAAGACAAAGCTACCCCGGCTAGGAAACCAATCAAGTGATTAGGACTGACCTTCACTCAGGAAATCTCAGTCACCTGCAATTAAGAAAGTCATATACTCTGGGTTCACACACATGGGCACACGCATGCACGTGAACACACACACTTTTCCCAGCTGTCAAAACTCCCTCGTTTTACCACTGTTCCAAATTCAAATTATTCCCAGACAAAAAAATAATAATAATCAGGCTATTCACTTTGAAAGAATGTGTCACTTCAGCCAAAAGCTTCTCAGAAGTACAATCTAAGGTTTTCTCAAGAACTGGTTTGTGGTAGGTGGACCCTGCAACATGCAACTCGTGTAGACGTACCCAAACCAGCTTGGACCTGGACAGCACCAGGCAAGCCACAGCAGCACAGACCTCAGCCTGGGCTGCAAAGGCCATTGAGAATCAGGGTTAAGACCTGGTAATTAGCCCAGAGCTCAGCGCTACTGCAGGCGTACTGTTATGCCCATCTTTGCCAGCCACTTTAAAGCTACCTGGGGTCATCTACATAAGCTATAGCCATACCCGTTGCAGCGCAGACAGACACCCCTAGCACACCCCGTGGACAACACTTCCAAAGAGACAACACTATGGATCTGCTCCAGAGGCAGGTCTTTGCAGTCACCAATGCAAAAATTATCTTGCCTGAGCCTGTGTTACAGATATCCCCAAGTTATAATCAGGGGGAGGAGAGGCTTGGTATTGTACCGGCGGCTCTAGCCATTCACGTGCACATTTTACAAAAAAGCCAAGTTGAACCTTAACTTTAAAAGCTCTTCCCTGGCAACCACATGCCTCTCCAAGTGACTGCCTCCCTCTATTTCCCCATGCTGGATTCCTCCTTCTCCACAGCACCCTCTCTCACATGGAATTTTTTGGAGGCACTGCTGTATTCAACTTTGGTGGAAAGGAGAGGAGGTCTGAAAATAAGGGTGAAGGTTGGATCTACGGCAAGCCTGCACTCTTCCCCCTGGACACGCAGCTTGGGATGTTGAAAATAAGAGAAAGATTTTAAACTGGGTTTAGAAGCATTTCCCTGCACTCTTCCGGTACCATCACAGGATTTTTATCTAGTTCCAATCATTAGAATTTTATGCTTAAGTAGCCAGAGACTTAAATAAATTAATGCAATTATGAGCTGAACTTTTCAGCCGCCTTCTCAGAAACCCTAATCCAGACTCATTTACAAGCAACATCCCTCCAGGTCAGTTATTTCTTTGGCTTACAGTCAACTTGCTCAAAATAATTTGTTCTGTGGAAAAGTTTTAATCCTGTGAACTGCATTTTAACTCTCTCACATTCTTCTAAATAATGTTTTATGTAACAGGGCAAGGAGGTGAAGGACTGGACTAGGCTACTAGTTATATTTGCCAGCGAGGAGGTGCTCTTAGAGCATAATACATCCATTAAAGTCCCCTTCGTTCTATGCTTGGTACCTTTGATGTAAGGTCCCGGTGGAAAATGCCTTTATAGTGAAGATAACTGAGTCCCAGAGAAATGTCACAGGCCAATTTCACCCTCACTGTCCAGGGCAGATGCTGGTTACCGTCTAAGAGCTGTTCCAGGTTACCACAGTTGATGTACTGAAAAGACAAAACAGAATTTGCCATTAATTACTTAAGTTAAGCTTGATGTTAACAGTTCAATTGAAAGGTTTTGTTGTTGCTGTTTTCGGAAAAAAATTTCTCTGCGTTTGGTGTGACCTAGACAAAGACTTATGTTAATTATTTTAAAATATACGGATACTAAATTCTAATAGGCAGCCGCCCCGTACTCCTCTCACAGTAGTTGAATATTATGGTGACGGGCTCTTCAGAAACATCAGCTATGCAGCCACAAGCCCCAAAGTGCTTTGCAGAAGTTGGTGTCCCGCTTCCTTCTTCTTTCACATCTGGGAAAGCCAAGAGAGAGAATCCAAGTGCCTGGATCTGAGGCAGAGCGAGCTGATGACAGAACCAGGAACACAATATAGATCCGACTCCAAACCCCTGTACTCAGTCCACTAGTCTGTTGGTTGTCCCATAACTCAAACCCTAAACTATGAGTAGCAATAGTCCCAGATACCAAGTAAACACTATACTTTTCACATAAAAGCGGCAACAATACAAATTACTCCGTTCTTGTCTTGCATCGGGAGCTTGAGCCTCACTGTGCTACCACCCACGGACAGTCTTTACCCAAAGAACTTGCATCTAAATACAACACAAAGTCAAAGCACAACAGATGCTTAAATACTGCGCGATGCATGGTACAGCAGTGTTGGGTGGTTGTTAGCTCTGTGCGCAAATTCAGCGCCAACAGGATTAAATGTGCTCCATGTATATAGCTAAGGCTGCACCTGACAGCTACCGAGAGCGCCTGGAATAGATCCTTTGCCAGTAAGGGGCTCTGTAAAGCAAAGTGAAACTCCACTCCTCCATAACGTCATCCTTCCACCTCCCTGCACATGCCCCTGACCAGGAGACTGAGTGAAGCTTGCTCAGCAGGACACACGGCAGTGGGAATTTTAACAGCTACACCAGGATTCACAGTCCTCTCCATAAGGTACCGACTTGGCTCCCCTGCACTTTGCTGAGGAAGTCCCTGCGCACCTGGCACACTACGCCCTCTGCCCCCAGCATCCACCTTTCTCCTTCTACCATGATCTGGCCAAAGGTTCATATTTAAGTGTCAATATACTATCGTGGCCTGACCTTGCAGCTATATTTTACTGCAAGGGGGAAGAGGGAACAGGGAAGTTTCTTCCTACCGCTCCAAACTAGATAAGACATCTGGAAAGAATTTTATAAGTTCTGCATTTCATTTCCCAAAGCTAGGAAAGGCAATATCACGAAAGGGGGCTGGTGATTCTGGTCTAATATATATATATTGATGCGTGCCAGTTTTAGGTTCTCTCGCCTGGGCAAGGCACCATTTATATCTAGTATTATCAAGTCTGACACAGAATGCGTGCTAGAAAAGGCTTGCAAGTTCTCTTTGATTTTTTTCATTAATTACATGAACAGAAAGTACACCTAAAATAAAGGTGGAAGTGCCTATGGGATTGGGATTAAATAGCATCCTGACAAACTGGAGATGTGTCCTGAAAACACTGAGATAAAATTCAATAAAAGCAACAACAAAAAAAGGGCAAAATGCAAAAAGAAAGAAAGAAAGAAAGAAAGAAAGAAAGAAAAACCACGCAGAAAGGAGAACTAATGCACAGATAAAGAATGGGAAATAGATGTCTAAACAGCAGTACACCACAAAAGGATCTGGGGATGATAGTAGACCTCAAATTAAGTCAGTCAACAATGTGATGCTGTTTCAAATAAAAAGGCCAATCTCATGCTACAATTATCACATGCAAGACATAGGAGATAGTTATTGAGCTCTTCTTGGCGTCAGTGAGGCCAGGAGGAACGCTGTCTGGTTCAGAGTACCAAACATTAAGACAGTCTTAAATTAGAGAGCATCTGAAGGAGTGCAAAAAGAATGAAAAAAGTTGAGAAAACACGACCTATAAGGAAAGGTTGAAGGAACTGGGTTTGTTTAGTCTAAAAGACTGAAAGAGAGGAGTGACTGATAACACATAAATAGGCTATTATCAAGGAAACAGTGATCACTTGTTTTTCAAGGCCACTTCCATAGAGAAAGGCCAAGAAAGAAAAAATCAGCTTCATTTGTGGCAAAGATTGGTTATCGGGGAAAAGTTTCTAGCTGTTAGGATGGTGAAATACTGGAAAAAGCTTCCTAAGGCTGCTGGGGAATCTCCTTTGCTGGAGGTTTTTAAGAACAGGTCAAACAAACACCTGTAAGGGGCCAGTCTGGGTATACCTGCCCCTACTTTGGTGTGGAAGACCGGACTTACAAGTCCTCTTGAGATCTCTTCCGGTCCTACATTTTCTACGATGCATACTTCTCCTTTACGCTGGCCTTTTCCAAACCAAAGAGGCAAAAAGGGCTTTAATATTGGACTATCAAAAAGGAATGAATCACTGAGAGCTGAGAAGAGAAAAGCCCAACTAAAATCTATTTTAAAAATTCACTCACCTATTGATCATTTGCATACACTAGTTTGATAGAGGATATTATAACCAAATACGCAGCACCCTGGCAGAGAGAGCAAACAGTTTTCCAACTGACACCTGCTAGTTATTACGAGAGGGTCCAGCTGCCCCATTTCAAGATCAAGTCCGGCAGGTGTAAGCACACTAACAAAAACGCATTGAAGGAAAGCAGGCTTGCTCCAGCAGGAAACTGAGTCAGGGCAGTTGCGCTCTATTCACAACCCGGCCACCGATTTCCAACAGGGAAATCAAGCCCGAGTCTGCAGTGCGTGGTGTAGAGAAGCCACCAGGCCTCCTAGCAAGTGCTACAAAAAGAAAAATCTTAATAAATGCACTGAGCTGCTGGAGACGGCAGTCCTGTTTCTGGGGTCCAATCTCTCCTGCACTCCCAGGCGCAGCAGGAGCCTTCCCAACTGAGTTGTCCATGCTGTGTTACACACCATGCTGTGTCACACGCCGTGCTTTCTAGCCCTACAATTTAGCCCACAAGGCAGGGGACGTTTTTGTAGCTTTGCCTTGTGGCCCAGCAGGCCTGGTCCATGGTTCCGCACGCAAACGATGCCGGTTGAAGCAGCTGCGGTGCATGGCATTGCTATAAGCAGTCAGGCCAGCCCAAAGCCTCCTTTCCCCAAACCCTCCAACAATGCCATTGTGCTCGGTCGTGTTTATTTGCTGCTCTGCCCTAAACACAGGGAATGAGAAGGAGGGTGGCCTATTTGCTACTGCAAGAGGAAAAAAAAAGGAAGCTTTGTTCCCAATACTTGCTGTTTATCCTGCTGCCACCACAAATGAGCTCTGCGCAATAAGAATATGCTGAAGGAGGGAAAGTCGCTCTTACTGCAGGAACATTGGACTTCGTTATGCCCCTGAAACATTTTGGTGCCAGAGATCTCAGGCAGAAAGTGCGTATGGCTGCAGCACGGTCCCAGTCTCAAAGCAACGCCGCAGGCATTAAACCAGGTGCTGCACACATGTACTCGCATGTGAGGGACGAGATTAGATCAGGCTGCAAGCGTGAACACGAAGGATGCTGTTGGGAAAGTTTTGTGGAGACTTAAAAATGGAGCGATATTGGCACCTTTTCACAACAGACTCGTAAGTCGTGTGTCATTACATGGCAGGGCCGCAGCGCCTGATCGACTGCATCACAAACAAGCTCAGAAGAACAGCAGATGAGTGATTAATTTAATCCAGTTGCTAGATATTAAAAGTAACTGCTATGGGTTTCATTTACTTTTTGCCTCGACGATGACTCAACAGAACAACGTTATCTTTGGCACAGCACAGATGTTGGCACTGCAGCAAAGGTAGAAGTGTTCCCTTCCTACACCTTTATCCACGCTGAAATCTAGCCAGGCTCCTGGTGCCAAAGCAGAAGTTCAGCTTGCTGGTTCAACAGGAACAAATCTGTATTGTGCCTCTTTCTAGAGGAGGGGTGGGCTTCCTGAGCAATCAAACTGCCTCACAGGTCAAACAAGTCTGGGCATTCTCTCGCTCGGTCCTAAGCCAGGCCTCCACCATAGCTTCATCCACAAAGACAGACAAACATGGGACTCCTTTTCTGCACTGCAACCAGGGAGAATATTCGAGTGACCTTGGGAGTGAGCTAGCCTGCAGGCCAGCTACAGCAGCGCTGTCAGCCCCACACTGTCAAAAAAGAAAATAATGATCAAGTTAGCCCTCAAAATCCCACGGTACGGGCTTAAATGTTGCATTCCTTTGCCATCTGGTTTTTAGCTTAAGCTTCAGGCTTTCAAGGATTTCCTCTGCGCTTAAGAGGTAGACCCTTTTTTAAAAAAGTAAGTGTGAAGCGTCTCAACCACATGACTCCAGCAGCAGGGGGATTTTTTTTATTTTATTTTTTTTAAAAGAGACTCCAAGTATCACTGAATTTGAGATAAAGACCACACAGTGCTACAGAACACCAATGGCTTCTCGCTCAGTCTCAACATAAATAAGCCTGTTGTGCAGAAGAAAGCAAAAGTAACACAAATCACCCCAATGAAACCCACTTAAAAAAGACACAGATCCCTAAAGTCTGCCACAACAGGAACAGCGCAGCTTGTGGCAACACTGTCCTTGGTGGCTTTGTCCAACGCCTTCACACAACTCTAATGCAAGGATCAAGCTCAGGGGCTCAGTGGGTGCATCTACACGTGCACTGGCCCGCTCTAGTTAATGCACATTAAATCTGGTATCTCCATTGTGAGGAACTAGGAAAATGCGTGTTAGCCTGTCTTAATACGCATCAACTAAAGCAACACTTAATGCGCATTAGCCTATTTTAATGTGCACTGGCTAAATAGCACAATTTTTGTAGTGATGCTTTAATGCGCATTAAAACAAGCAAATGTGCATTAAAGCGCATGTGTAGATGCATCCTTTGTGATCAGAGCCCTGTATTTCAATTGCCTTTAGCAAGGCTACCACTGACACTAATCTGCTACCAACCACCTGTGCTATGACCCCATATAACATCTCATTTACAAAAACTCAGGTACTGGGCAAGTGCAGCATGAGAAAACAGTCACAAG